TTTAAATTAATGTTTGTTTGTTCGTTGGTTCATTCATTCTTTTATTATATTATTTCTATAAAAAAATTGAGATGGTCCTCACTGCAGAACACAAGATCCAGGGGGCAAGGTTGGATCCAGATCCAAGTCCGGCCACCTTATATATACCTAAACCTACCCATCTCCACCCCCTGATCCCTAAACCCACCCATCTCCACCCCTAAAGCTACCATCTCCACCCCCTAGATGTGGACCCAACCCCGCCCCCTGGATCTTTGTTCTGCAGTGAGGGGCTACTGAAAAAATTGGCAATGGATTGACAATGAGCAGACATAAGCAGCATTCTTGTGTGAATTATATTTTAAATCATTCTTGCATACAGTTATTGTATTTAGTACATTTACACTGCATATACATTTGGCAAAAAAGGTAATGTTTCATAAATAAGATCCATTGTTATTTTGTTAGTAATATATTAGTTTCAGTGCCGAATGTGCAGAATGTTACATTTATTTATTTATTTTCTGCACGTAGTTAAAAGAGGCAGAGGTTACAGTTTCTTTGTCTTCTTTGTACTTTGCTTACAACAACGAGGGTCGACTTCACAGTTCTTCTCCAATTATGCATTACGTTACATGTTAATAAAGTTCATGAACAACTTGAAATTAACATATTGTTATTTATACTTTGGGTTATTGCAAGTAATTAGAAACATCATAAAAGACAGCATTTAAGTATGTTATTAATAGTGTAGAATAAAAGTAGAATGAAAGGTCTTCCAGTGTACACCAAGCAACTCACAGCATGAGGAAAGGAAATTATGTTAGCTCTATAGTGTTACAGTGTTCACACATCTAGATGTACTTGGTCTTTTAAAAAGGACTTGTGTTCCCTGGCTGTTTTATGCTCAGTAATCATTGGGGCGGATGACTCTCCTGAGATGGCTGCTCATATGATTAACTATCCTGCTTCACTTTAATGCCTGACAACTAGATGTATCGAAGGCATCCATTGGCTCATTCAACATTAAACCCTTCCAAATGTTAGCAGCAGGAACAAGATGACTTATGAGGCCATTTTAGTTTATTTTCCATTGCTCAAGGTTTGAGCTTTGTAGACCCTGTTACATGTCTTTGGAAACTATGACTGTGTTGTAGTTGCATAAAAATTGTCTACAATTTTGTACAATACAAACCAAGCATATCAAGCAATATTAAACAACAACTAAGTGTGGGAATTCCTGTAGGATTTTGTTTGAATTAATAATGTCCTACAGCTGTTTGAAATGAAAGGCTGAAGCGAGTGTGATGTACTCTGTGCAGTGAACAGATTGCATATGCAGTCTGTTCTTATGCTGTCAGCTGCTTTAAATCACATGCTGCAGTCGAAGAGCTCTCATTAAACCCACATAACACCTGGATGCTAGATGTGTTCTTTGGAGTAAGTTAGATATGTATATCAGATCACTTTTATTACTGAGAGATCGCTATTTCGTAGCTTGAGAGAGTTCTCATTTAATGATCAATTTCATGTTAGATGCTTCCCATAAAATTCTTTATCAGAAATAAAATAGACACCAATGAAGCATTTCATGACATTGTAAGAAAGAAGTGTGCTTAGTTATATGGAATGTGGAATTGTATCGTACAGCAGATCTTAAAAGTATATATTTTAATAAATTGTACTTGCATAATACAATATTAAAGGGGTCATAGGATGTGATATACATTTTTCCTTTCTCTTTAAAGTGTTACAAGCTCTTGGTGCATAAAGAAGATCTGTAAAGTTGCAAAGTCTAAAGTCTCAAATCCAAATATATATTCTTTATAAAAGTTAAGAGTCAACCACGCCTACCTAAAACGGCTCATTCTAACACGCCCCCACATGTCTATGTCACGATGTGGGAAGATTTGCATAACGCCGCCCAAATGTTCACGCAAAGAAAGAAGGCGTAACTTTTATTCTCGCTGTAGTATTGTTGCTGCCGCCATGTTGTGGAGACGCTGTGTGTTTCGTTGTGAAAGTGAAACTACTTTGTTTGGCCTTCCAAAAGAGGACGATATCCGCTTCGTCATGCCTAGAGCTGATCCGTGCTGGTCGCTGAGGAAATACATCAACTTCGCGCTGTGGATCGCCGGATCGGCTTTCACCGTGGACGAAGCGGAGTCCAGCCTGGGGTTGTCACATGTGGTTGCCACAAGCCCGCCAGACGCTCACTCTAGCCGCTCCTTCATCGAATTTTGTTTACGTGGCGCGATGCAACGCATAAAAAGACAGTATAAGTCATTATAATCAGTAATTATGTCCCCATTGGATGCAACAAATGCCTCGTTTATAATGGGTTTTAATGTTTTTGTCTCGTCGCTCCGGCCGGACAGGGCATCATAGTATGGTAGGGGCGTAACATTTCCGTCACACGCTTGAGGTATTTGGCCAATCACAATGCACTGGGTAGCTGGCCAATCAGAGCACACCTCGCTTTTCAGACCGATGAGCTTTGTAAAAATCGACGTGTTTCAGAAAGGCGGGGCATAGAGGAGAAACAATAATGTACAGTATGTGGGAAATAATGTGTTTTTTAACCTTAAACCGCATAAACACATATCATTACACCAAATACTTATACTTACCAAATAATTACCAAATACTTATTGTAAGGTGTCCTTGTTACAGTATAATTATACATTTAAGTACCGAGTAATATTAATTAACTACATGTAATTACTATAGGATTAGGGTTAGGATTAGAGTTTGGTTTAGGGTTACTTGCATGTAATTATGCACAATTTATTGTTATTATAATGGTAAGTACATGTAACTTATAACAAGGACACTTTTAAATAAAGTGTTGGGGGGGAGCATATTTTCATGACTGTTTCTTAATATACTTAGGTACATTTTTAAAAAGTGATTTGTAATAATGTCAAATTAAAAGTTTTAATTTGAAAGTTTAACTTAATAAACTTGTCATGATTTGAAGAAATGCACTTATTTTGATTTGTTGACTAACATACTAAAGCACATGTAAAGTACTAATTATAATTTAGAAACTGTAGTTTGTTATGTGATATTATGTTTAAAGTTAAAGTTTTAAAGTGGTGGTTGACTGCGATTTCACATTTTTAACGTTAGTTAGTGTGCAATGTTGCTGTTTGAGCATAAACAATATCTGCAATGTTGCGGCGCTGAAAGTTCAATGCAAACAGAGATATAAAATTCTGGCAGTTTAATGCCTACAAAAATGGCTCGTAGGGACTACAACCCAGATAAACCCCGCCCCCAGGAACATGCAGTAAAGGGGGTGAGACCATGCTGCTTTAGAGAAGAGGAGGAGAAAACTAGGGGTGCATGTAAAAATCCATTCATATATGAATCACAATTATGTCTTCTAACGATTCTAATGGATTCGCAAGTTTCAAAATCAATGTTCTAAAGCAGCAGTTCTTTATACTGTTCCTCGCATCCCCCTGCTCTGCACATGCTCTGAATCTCTCTCTCTCTCTCTCTCTCTCATTCAGATCATCAGCTCAACTCCAACAAGGAACTGTTCCATTTATACACGAGAAGCATTATACATGGACGCGCTTGTGGTTGCCGTAGTGTATTAAAGCTTTAATCAAGATAAAACCGTATATTAAAAGCTAACAGAAGCAATAGCATTTACAAATAACAGCGTATCTAAAATATGAGACAACAACAAACAAAACACATACCATTAAGAGCTGTGCTTGCACAGGTTCTGCGTGATCCTCTTCACTAATATCCTCTGCATCTCAATCGGGCTCAAACTGATAAGCAATATTGACGACGCCATTGTTTGTGTAGAATAATGGTAAATTATGTGAAAAAATAATGAATTTTTTTTTTTTAGACGTCACCCCGTAAACACAATCAAGCCTAGAAAAAAACAAAAACAGTCAACCACCCCTTTAACTTTACTTACTTTATAATTAGAAATGTGTAATTACAAATATATTTAAGTAGATGTTTTTGTAGTATCTGTAGTTTCTGTAGTGTTAATAGAAATTTCATTAAAGTATATTTAGTTTACATTAATGCTAAGTTTAGTTGACCAAAAATACACTTTAACCATATTTCAAAAACAGCAGAAGTAATTATGAAATTACATAAAAATCACTCTAACTGCGTTTACTATAAGTGTAAACTATTATGCATGCAATTAACGTTCAATTAAGTGCCCGAAAACATTACATTCAGTTCCCACTTAAGTATGTTCTTTTTAAAGTATATTATTTCAATAGGAGCTACTTTATTTATTTGGCTAAAGTGTTCCTCTTTTTCACTGGTAATAGCAAGAGTGTAGAGATATAAAATGAATGTGGATATCATTGTTCAGATCATTTGGTCTTTGGTGTTCGAATTCATGCTGAGATCCCTGACTTCTGCAGACTTCACTTTTAGTGTTTTAGTAAATCTGAGCAGAGTTTGAGAAGTTGAGATCTATTCTAAAACATCAGAAGAGACACGTGAGATTACTGGGTCTGTTTCTTATGAGAAATAAAGAGAGAGAGAGATAGAAGCAAAGGTCTCAGTTTGTACTGTTTAATCTCATTACTTTATGAGTAATGTATTTCTCTCATTTGAGATTTCTTTCAGTTGTATGTAGTGAAATTCCTAATGATTTTATATTAGGTACTCCCAATTTTCAGTGTCAGAAAGACATACTTGACTTTTACCCAATATCTCACTGGGGTCATATCTTTCAATCTGACAAGCAGCAACAGCAAACATTACAGTGTTCACAGATCTGCTCTAAATTTCAGGTCTCTAATTACCTCTATTGTTTCTTTCTGAACAACCACAACTGAAACTTGAAACTGAAACTAAAAAAAAAATAATTCTAATAGTGCCTAATTATATTTTCATCCATGTGGCAATAAAAAGTAAATCATGCATTTTTAATCAATAGTAGAATGAAATGATTAGGGAAATGCAACAAATGCTTTTTTGAAAATGAAACAGTGAGCAAATAAAAAATGTTTTATATGTTATTATCACAGGAACCCTTCTGGTGGAGAACATGCAGATAAATGGGAGAGCAGAAGACCCTGACAGGACCATTTCTTTATCATTACGGGACAACCACGACTACTGGGTCATTCTGGACCCGGTCAAGCAACGCCTGTATCTCAACAGCACCGGACGACTTCTGGACCGAGATGTAATTATTTGCTATACAAGTCTGAAACAATCATTGCATGCAAGTGGTGCAGAAATCATATATTTTTTTAAATATATACATGCATGTGTGTGTATTTATATATACATAATAAATATACACAGCACACATACATAAATTATGTAAACAAACTTTTATTTTGGATGCGATTAATTGCGATTAATCGTTTGACAGCACTAATAATAACACTTCTTCCAGTAAAATGTCTTCTCACATCAAAATCCACCAATATGTATATAGTTTTGGACTATGTTTACTTGTAAATGGTGCTGGATCTGTGCATATTTCTCTCCTAATTCAGACGAGATCACTTTTTCACTGTAGAAATCAATATTATGGATAGAGGACTTGTATTTTAGCCAGAAGCAATGCTTTGGCGTTAAAAACGTGCAGCTTTTTGCTTCAAAAATACATTAATTGATTATCGTGATGTCTGACGGCACCCATTCACTGCAGAGGATCCATTATTGAGCTATATCTGCCTTTAATTCTCAGGTGAACAATTCCTTTAAACATGGAAATAAAACACGAACCTGTTAAGTATTTTTTTAAATCTTAAAATTGCTTTGCTGATAATATAACTAGTAATATAACTAGTAATGAAAAAAAAATAAAAAATCCACTGGTGGTCTCAGACTTTTGGACCCTCTCTGTCCAAAAGAGGTCTTTTGGTTCAATCAGAACTATGATAAAACAAAAAAGTTCCTCTCTTTTGCTTCAAAATCTGTTGTTCACAGCATGCACTTTGTAATGGGCTTCATAATAGAATGCAAGCAAATGGTCATTTTCCGGTTGGTCTGCTGAATGCACACCATGCAAATTAACTTTCTCGATTTGTCTCTTTTATTTTTGTCTTTCAGCCTCCCTCCTACATTCAGTCCATTGTGGTGCAGGTTCAGTGTACTAATGAGCTTGTTGGCACGGTGATCCTACACGAGGTGCGGATAGTCGTACGAGATCGAAACGACAACACCCCACGCTTTCAGCAGCCGCGCTACTATGTAGCGATTAATGAGGTGAGTTTCTATTTAGCAGGGCCTCTTTTGTTCTTCTTCTGTAGTTGTAATGACTTTTTCATGAGTTACTTTTCTACAGTTTCTGGAGAGCATCTACGTCACCAACATTCTGGAGCACACGTTATTAGAAGTTTGCAGGAGTGAGTTGCTTTAGCTAAAACTGAACACTTGCCAGCTGTAATTGGAAATTCAATCAGTGGATTGTGTCAGTGTGATGGTTTACCCACGACGGGGGTTATTTTGCGGTAAATGAATTGCAGTTGTGGGCTTTGGAGCTGAAGCATTTAGCTGTTAACGTTTCTCTGTCTTTGACTGCTGTGTAATTACTCCAGGAGTGCTGTAGCTCACTGAATAAATATTCTGCCCCTCTATTTTTGCTTCCCAATTCACAGAAGTTAAAGTCCATATATTCTTTCATATATTCTGGAGAACTACTAAGAACTACTCTATACAGGTTCATAATTAATGTGAATGATGCATAATGTATAATTAATTCTAAAGAGAAGATCATGATAATCCACTAGTAATGACTCAAGTATTACCAAATCCTTCTAAAGGAACTACTAATTACTTGGATCAGTATTCTAAAGTGAAAAGCATGACAACTCCCTAATATTGGCTGAGGTCATTGTAAGCGTTTGAGATATATGTAAGGCTTTGGATAGTAATGACTCATGTGTTACTGCATCCTTCTGAAGAAATTACTAATTATTTGGATCAGTATTCTAAAGTGAAAAGCATGACAACTCCCTAATATTGGCTGAGGTCATTGTAAGCGTTTGAGATATATGTAAGGCTTTGGATAGTAATGACTCATGTGTTACTGCATCCTTCTGAAGAAATTACTAATTATTTGGATCAGTATTCTAAAGTGAAAAGCATGACAACTCCCTAATATTGGCTGAGGTCATTGTAAGCGTTTGAGATATATGTAAGGCTTTGGATAGTAATGACTCATGTGTTACTGCATCCTTCTGAAGAAATTACTAATTATTTGGATCAGTATTCTAAAGTGAAAAGCATGACAACTCCCTAATATTGGCTGAGGTCATTGTAAGCGTTTGAGATATATGTAAGGCTTTGGATAGTAATGACTCATGTGTTACTGCATCCTTCTGAAGAAATTACTAATTATTTGGATCAGTATTCTAAAGTGAAAAGCATGACAACTCCCTAATATTGGCTGAGGTCATTGTAAGCGTTTGAGATATATGTAAGGCTTTGGATAGTAATGACTCATGTGTTACTGCATCCTTCTGAAGAAATTACTAATTATTTGGATCAGTATTCTAAAGTGAAGTTCATGGTGACCCACTAGTAATGATTTAAGTGTTACCAAATCTAGCAAAATTAATTACTAACCAAAAACCTCAAAAGTTTTCAATGACTTCAGTAATTACTAGGGAGTTATCACTATCTTCACTTTAGAATACTGATCTAAAAAAATAGTAATTCCTTTAGAAGGATGTAGTAACACTGAATAATTACTATCCAATACTTTACAAAACCCTCAAAAGCTTAGAATGATTTCAGTCATTACTAGAGAATTATCATGTTATTCACCTTAGAATACTGATCCAAATAATTAGTAATTCCGTTTCTGTTTCTAGTAATAATTAATTAATAATTAGTCATTCCATTTCTTTGCATTTTAATGTATCTTAATATTTTTGTGGTGGAAAATTTGATACAGTACCATTCAAAAGTGTGGTGTAAGAAGGATTTTCTTTTTTTAAGAAAATAAATCAATACTCATTTTACAGTAAAAACATTTCTAATGTTACGAAATATTTCTATATCAAATGAACACTGTTCTTTTGAACTTCATATTAATCAAATAATTCAAAATGTTTTCTATCAAAATATTAAACAGAACTAATTGTGTTTAACATTTATATTAATAAGAATAATAATTATGATTTATATATTAATATATTGTAATTAATGATATCGATATTTATGAATTATTCCAATAACAATTGCCAACACTTTTTTATTTTTTGTAAATGAAGTAAATGCAGTATTGGTGAGCATAATATACTTTTTTAAAGTTTTTTTTTTCCTCCAATTTTTTGACCGGTAATGTAAAGTACTACATTATTTTGTAAAAAAATTGTACTATCTATATGAGAAATATATGAGTCTATACTTACTGTCTATATGAGTAAGTCCTTTTTGTACAGTAATAGAGGTGAGATTTCTTATTGGGTTTGTATGAGCTGTCTGAAACGTGTATATTAGGTATATATATATATATATATATATATATATATATATATATATATATATATATATA